AAAGTTGAATATTTTACGAGATATTTCATAATTTTTGCAAACTTGTCAAATTAAAATATAAAACATCTTGTAAATTATCTAATTTTTGGGTCATTCTACTTTTAACCTTTTACGTTAAATACTGTGAAAATTGATTTATATAAATAAATTATGATGATTTTAAAAAACTAGGGCGATCTTTAAATCTTTGAAAATTTTACAAAATTAAATTCTTCTATAATATTTCTCTTTGTAAGAATGGATAAAATCATATATATTTTCCATATATAATTTACTACAATATAAGTTGAAAAAAATTTATTTATTCATTAAAGGTAATAATTAAAATTTCGAAAAATCGTTTGGTTTCTCGCTGCATCTTGGTCTAAAGATACATGTGTAGACATGTGGATCATTTTTTTCTAAAACTGTAAATTATCATTAAACTATTGAAATATTTCTCTCTGTTTCTTTTATCATTAAGTTAATTGATGAAGTTGTTAGATGTTGATATTGATTGGGTGATATGTTTAAAAGACTAATTTGGGATTTTGGGAAAAGCTGTGATCTGTCGTTAATTCATTGAAGTGACAATAGTTAATTCGCTTCTGACGTTTGATCAGTTGATTGAAAATTTGATTAGTGAACATAATTGACGAGCCAAGAATACATAATCATCTGTTGCATTAGTAATTTATTAAAAACATAATCGATGCTTCATATTTATAATTCAATTACATTCTTATTACTTTACTATTATATATTCGTATATAAATTAATAGATACAAGTCATAATGATAAACCATAATCGATGAAACATACGTATAGAAAATGATATACCAGTAATATTGCGAGAGAGAAACAGAATGCAATTATAACACAAATCATTAAATATTATATTTCTTTAAAAGATTCTTCTTAAAAAATATTCCTGAAAGATCTTTTGATCATTTGTATAAAATTCATAAATTACTGACATTTACAAATTTTCCGGTCAGTATATATCGATCTTGAAAGAATACTCTTGCAAAGTTTAGCAGTCTATACATACAATGCTCGCGAAACATGTTGCCAAGTGAGATTATCGGTTTAGTTGGCAAAATTGCAAAGTGTAAAGTAGAAATTCCTGGCGTACAAATTATATCAGTTAATAACCAGAGCGCACATACATAACGCGTAAGTAGATAATCGAATTAATTGCGGCGCGCGCGTTCAAATAAATATATTCTCGTTCTCGCGCGATGAAACCGTGCTGTAAAATTCAATATAATGCGAGATATAATATACATATCGCGCGCGCGCGTGAGATATAGGCAATATGCAATTTCCGCTTATGGCCGATAACGTGTCATCGCGTAAATAAATAAAAATGGTGTCGTCGTATGTTGTTGGCGGAACGAAATCCAGTCGAATTTACAAATCAGTGGGACGAGAGTGAATATTTAATTACGCCATTTGTTTATCCCATTCCGTTGAATTGCTAATTCGTGCAACCGAGTGTCCGATATTCTCAAACAATAAGCGGCCCTTTAGATTAAGCTCCATTTATATTTTTCATTACGATCAAATTATCGCGTCATTCTGACGTTTATTTTGACTTCATGACGTTATGTTATAATTTTATTCAACGTTATTTATCATGATAATGGGAATGAATAAAATCCGTAATGGATCGCTACGGAAGCGATGCGAATAACTCAGAATAATATAAGCTATATTTTTGAAATTAATTCCAATTTTTAGATTAAAATTAAATTTATAAAATTGTTTAACTTGATAAAACACGCTCTCAACCGTGCTATTTAAAATTAATTAATCAGAATTTATTGATGTAACATCGATGAAACAAACTTTATTTTTTTATAATCTAGCATCTTAGAACAAAATACACAATTTTTAGAAAGCACCTCCTTTATACATTAATCATTATTTTATCGCTTTATCTCTTCGCTTTATCTGATCGATAAACAATGTTCCTTGAGATTAGTATTTTTAATTATTATTAATTTGTAGTGTCGATTTTGATATAATGTAATGTGCACAAATTAAATGTATTAATAACTTTATCATATTAAGCATTAATATATTTGTGTCTGACTATCAAGAAGTACGGATTAACCGAGAAATTAGCTCGTAACTCGATCATCTTATTTATGACAAAGAACATTTCATGAATCACGTGCGCATCAATAACAAGATCGGGCATTATTTTATGACTGATCAATATCACATTGCGAGCATAAAGTGCAATATAAGTTATTCAATAAATGTGTTTCTTAAATAGGGAAGCTCGTGATATTAATAGAAAAATTCATTCACAAGAATTAATTACTTATTATTTATTAACCATGATAATATTATAGTATGAATCAATCCTAATTTTGTCGTATTAATTTTTTTAAGGGTAGATTCTGTAACTAAATTAGAATCAATTTTTTAACTAAATTAAAATCGATTTTTTAACTAAATTAAAATCGAATTTTTTAAAATTCGATTTGGTTTAATTCGATGACAAATTCCATAAAAATTGTACTCTTTTTCTTCACTGCTTTTTCATTCTGAAAGAAGAATTGCGCGTTACCAGTATCCTAAACTCGATGCATTCGCAAAAAAATTCTTTGTTCGAAGCAATGTCAGCAGCTTGCGTAATAATACGATGCTATATGACGTTAATAAAAAATGAACGCATTGCAAATGCTAATCATTTTTATCGTTTCTATCATAATTATGTTGTCCATTTATCTTGACTGATCGAGAGAGTTTAAGTCGCTATCGATTCGACTGACTATAACGTAGCTTGATCGATCTCCTTTCATTGCTCGGTAATGGAATACGAACGAGGTGCCTTGTAACGATCTCGAATCCTGCATCACGTATTGTAGATTCGTTGCAAAATTTCCATTCGTTGCAAATAACCGATTTTTGTTTACGATATGCTGTAGGCGATTTTGTGAAATTTTCAACGAAAACAACTTGCGTCGTTAACACTGTATTTGTGCGACGTGCTCTATGTTTGGCGCTTTTTGTCGTTATTCTGTGCGACGTCGATAAAAGCGTCGTTCTATCTAGCACGAAGAAGTTAAAAAGCTCGCGTAAGCCCGTGCCCGATCTGGCGTGTTCATGAATAATTCACAATTTATTGAGTTTTAATATCAATATCGGCGCGATCGCGGATTAATCGACTGGCATGACTGGCCAATATTTATGTACTTTTCTAAGCGACGCTCACGATGTTGACTTTTTTTTCCATCGATTCAAAATTATTTATTTCTCACTGATATTTGTCGAATATGTTTGGCAGTTTTCCTGAAATAGTGTGTAAATGGCTTCATCAAAATTTTATCATTTTATTCCATTTTCGAAAATTCCACATACGAAAACAACAATAGTATTGAAATGTAATACGGATGTAATCAAAACGAATAAAATTGTCAATATCGAATTATTAAAGGTCACACATTTGCAATGTCACTTAAATATCTGTTTTATTTTCATATTTATTGAAGATCTGCTTTGAAAAAGATTCTACTTTGGAATTCTATTTGCAATAATGAATCACGGTGTGTGATTGACGTGATTAAATAAATTATAACTATGTTCACGTATAATATATTCGTGAAGATATTTGCGACAATGATCACTCTCTCTTTCATTACATTTTATACAAGACTATTGTTACTGATTAATTCGTGATACGATATTCGAGATATAAAATGATAGCAAGCTTTATTTGATATTGAAGAGGTTAAGTCTTCGATAAAATGATTATCTATGTCCGAACATTTTTATCTAAAATTATCTACATAATAATTTATGTTATTCTTTTAATGAAAACTTACTAGGTGTTTATATTATATTGTACAATATTATTTTTTAAAACTTATAGGTATTTATATTATATTGTACAATATTATTTTTTAAAATTGTTTTTATAATTTAATTTGTTTAATTCGCGTAAATATATGTGATTATTAATTTAGTAATATATTAATTTTATTAATTTATTAGAGATTTAAAAAATATATTATTTTATTATAATTAGTATTATAATTAATCCCATAATCTATATTTATTTCGAATACAGAGCTAGAATTATAATTTTAAAATTCTGAACTATTATTTTATCTAAAAGAAGCTTCATTTTTAAAATTTTTCAACGATAATTCATATCTCTTGCTCGACATTCTTATTCAAATTTAATGCGAATATCATTTAAGACAATGATTGTGCATGCGGAAGAATTGCTGGATGTGCGAGAAATTCTCGCAACGTTTAGAAAAGTGGTCGAGCATTTTGTTACATGTGTGCAAAACGTGTCTTGTGCCAATGACTTATGTGACCTATTTACAATCGCATTCAACGCCCTCGTTTTCTTTGATTTCGACATGCTTGCCGGTAGCCAATCGTACAACACAAAACGGCTCATCCGCCTTCTCCTCTCTCTCCCTTTCTTTCCGATCGATTTTGATTTCACGGCCAGTTTCACGGAAATTAAATCATTGCACGATCGGCGAAAATGACGGATCGCTTTGTCATAAATTCATGCGGCGCAAAATCCTCACTATTCGTCCCCGCCATATAGAGATCGTTTAACGGTACTTTATCGTGATAGATGTGTCTCCCTTTTAGCGTTCCTTCAATGAACGTGCACGCGGAAGAGACTTCATGCGTTTGACGAGATGCATATATAATACCCCATGGTTGGCGTGTGCGTATGTAGCGGGACCGGTGGAAGATGAATCAAAGTTCATTTTAGTGTATTGAATTAAGAAAAAAAAAGCACACATGTGTACGTGCGTGTTTCATGATTGCGGCATTAGTAGCATTAGCTGCTGATTAAGTGTGGGTAGTAACGTGATAATTCATTACTTTATTCGACTTATTTCCGCCTCTGACGGGCCGTTCATTATATCTATCATGACGTTATTTCAGTCGATTTAAACGATTGTTACGATGCAATCCTGCCGGTTTTTACCGTACTTGATTTATCGATAAAAGTTTGCGCCGCAGCGCTCACTCACCTGTCAAATTTCTCGCTCACAAGCGCGACAGTTAAAATCTACCGTCGAGATGCAGAGACGTTCAATCTCTGCGTGCTACAATAAACCTCACGGGATCGTCTGTAACGAGAAGCTCTTTATTAAAGGCTGCTGAAATATGCACGCCATTCGTTGACAGAAAAAATATTTCTTTAAGTGACTTTTTTTTGAGTGACAGTGTAATTTATTTTTCTCTGCTTCATCCATCAACTCTGTATTATTGATTTTGAAAATAACATTTGATTGACTGAACATTTATGTGTATGCATCATATAAAACCGGAAATATCCATAATTAATATTTCCCAATATAAAAATACGTCTTATATCAATAAATGTCAAAGAAAAATAATGATTAGTAAGCAGAAAAATTTGGTGTGGACATTTTAAAATTATAATTTTTAGGTAAACTACACTTGATAATCGAATTCTAAGAATTTACTTTTGTTCACTCAAAAAAATTCTCAATATCTTATATGAAGTAAACTTAAAAAAAAACATACCACTTCGTTATCAATTAATCAATCCAACATGAACAAATATCATTTGAGAAATTTTTAAATTCTATTACATCTAGAATCATGTAGTGTTATCATTCCAGTGAACAAACGTTTTCAATCATAAACTCGATACTGTAAAAAATTCAGCTTGTCGATGATTTCACCGGATAATAATGTCAACTTTAATCTTCAATCGAGGCTTTATCAGTTGAGTTTCAATATCTCCATGATATTTGATATTCGAAGTCCTTAGATTCGGCTTTAAATTCATACAGTTTCCTATTCTTGTTTCTTGAAGAATTTGAAACTAAAGGGAATATATGTCCCCTTTAGAAGAAAGAGTGAACTCTTATCAATTATTATTATTATACTTTACTGACATATTTTGATTTTGTTTTGCATGCAAATATATTTAATTTCTTATATATAAGAATATTAAAAGAATAAATATTATACACACGCGCGCACATACACACACACACACACACACACACACACACACACACACACACACACACACACACACACATATTTATTTATTTATTCTTTTAATTGTCACATATTTTTCACAAAAGACATCTTTAAATAATGTCATTGAGATTGATAAAATCATCTAAAATTAAATGAGATTGATAAAATCATCTAAAAATAAATATAAATTCACAAATGGTGACATCATTATTTTTCAATGAAAAATAATTTCTGATGAAATTCGTAAAATTTGAAGTTGTTGAATAAGAATTCACTATCTCAATGACAATCTTATTATTTTCAACGTGAAATGACGATAAAAGCAGGAATTTACGTAATGATAATAATCTCTATTTTGATTCGATAACATAGCTTCGAACAAACTCATTTAATTCGTCACAGTCAATTGTCGCGACGACATCTTTTCGTGCGGAAAATTGATCTCACCATTACATCAGAAGCACTGGTTATGTTGGAAATAATCAGCGTATTCGCAACGATTCTTCCTTGTAAAAGATTGTTGTTTTCCTTGAAAAATATGACGTGCACCGCATTAAAATCGACCGGTTGCTGCCGTACGTACGAAACGACTCGCAAAGACTCACGCCGGATCACTAATATATATAAATCCTGTAAGAGAGTCTCTCCCCTCTCACTAAAATCTTTTCCCCCATACATGATGGTGTGCCCCTCCATCATTCTGCTTGTGATCATTTCTGACCGCTTGCTCTCTATGTGAGCAAAATTCGCTCGATTTCGCACGATTTCGACATCCTTATACATGACATTGCAAATATTCTCCTAAGACATGCTTACCTTTGACGAAATACTCGATACGTCCCACAATGAAACTCTAACTCTCGTTAGAGCGTGCAATACGCGCCATCGTGCGCGACATATTGCGCTAACGGCGCAATCTCCCTCGTTTAAGACACATCTGGGTTTTAATGAAATTTAATATAAGCTATGCCCTGCAATCTTTTGATCGATCCGTCTTTGCATCAGAATGTTTCCCGCTTCAAAGCAAATTTTTTATTTTTGCCATCTGCCGAGAGCGTTTGCCGCACTTTTATTCCCATGACTATTTTATTCATCTTAGTGCAGAATATGAGGTAAAGATATTGCTTTTAGCTCGTAATAATGAATATTAAGGGAAAAAGCTGAACTGAATTTCTTAAAACTCTATATTTAAATATCAATATTATAACGTTATGACGTTTCTCATAATTTCAGATAATGACATAAGTTAGATCATCTCTCGAGTCATTCATTCAATTTGCTTAGATAATTAGGAGACTGTTGGATTAGATAAAAGTCATCATATCTTTGGATCGTATCTTTGGAAGATTAATTCAGTCTATTTTTATCATCTCTCATTAGATAACGTCGATGCTAGACAGATTAATTGGAATATTTTGTTTCTTATATCACAAACTCCTATTATTATGCATATTAACTGGTAATAATTAATTGATAAAAATTAACAGAAATCGGTATATTTACAATCTCATTTTCATCTTTCTACAATTAATACTCCATATTTAATTTTCTTGATATCAATTGTATGACTAAATTGAAAGCTTATATTTAGCATTAAAAATGATAATTCAATATTATGTTTCTAAGAAATTACATTACGTAATACTTTCAACTTGTTAAGACGATTAAAATACGACACTTGTGATATGTCTTATGAAGAACACTTATTGTAAGCGAAATAAATTAGCGTGCGTTCTACTTATAGATCATTTATAGATAGTAATTTGTTAATTCAAGAAATAAAAAATCCTGAGTTCTTTATATATATCTGTGTGTGTGTGTGTGTGTGTGTGTGTATGTGTGTGTGTATGTGTGTATTAACATTGAACTATTCACATTCGTACAATGATATGTGTAATGACAAGTAACATGACAAAGCAACAAATCGGCAAATTAATTGATGTTTATTGAATTCAATTGAGTCCACTACACGTCAAGCTGCGGCCAATGAAAGTCATTAAAAATTGATCGTTATATTCGATGCATCAATGATATGAAAACGAGTGCTTATTATAATTACTAAAATAATTTTGAACGCTTCCTGTGTTTATCTAATAATTGTACATATCAATCTTTATCAACAAGCCATCAATCTCTGAAGCACGAAAACGAAAATCCTTATTAATTAAAAATGATAAAATCTAATATATAGCAATGATATAAAATTATATCTATAGATTAGGTTAATAAATCTCACATTCATATTCTTCAAATTTTTTTACATTATTTATATTATTTTCAAATTTAAAGCATGCAGCAAAATTGATATCTAATTCAACTATGAAATAAAAAAAAGATCAGATATATAATATATCAGATCAGATATAATAGATCAAATATAATATAATAGATCAGATATAATCAGATATAATATAATAGATCAGATATATATAATTCTTTTAAATCTATGACTTTTTTATTTACAAAAGTAAAGAACGTAAATTATTTTGTTTAATTATTACATAAATTCAGTCGTGTTCATGAAAAATTAATAAGACATTATATTGGTCATCTCATATGCTTAAATGTGTGTCAACATATGGTTAATATTCGCCAAATATTCAAACGCATATGATGAAAGTAAACGTCAAGTTAGCCTCACAATGTGTGAATACGTCTATCGATATGACCGATGATGAGATTTAAATGACCGTTCACCTTGACATTGACTTGGGAAAGAGGGCTAATTTTGTGAAGCAGCGAAGGGGATCAAGTATGTGTGCAATAACTCACACGTGAACGATATATACTGAACAATGACGGCGGGAGATATTCACGGAGCACGTGGTATCGTGATGTCACGGAATGACGAGACAAATGTGCGGAATGACGTAACTCACGGCACATTGCACGAGTTCTTCCCCGCACGCTTAGATCCTTCAGATCGTCCGAATTACACACGATTGACACAAATACCATGAGTACGATGAATGTTCGACGACGCGACGTGGAGTTTTTTATCATCTTGCTTTCGCGATGTGTCGACTTCAAGGAGAAAGTCACGAAATAAGAATTATTTATAAAAAACTCGCTATCATATTTTGCATGTAAATTTTACTGTCGAGATCATGCAATATAGTTCTAAAATATAACCTAGTTACAATTAGTGCTTTTAACTTTTTTTTCCACTCCCTAAAACTTGATTATATTTCTCGTTACAAAAATAATAATGAATGAGACGAATGGCAAATAATTGATTTAGTATTAGAAATAATATTAATAATTTTTTTATATATGTGTTGCTTTTTTGCATTTCATATTCTCTGTTAATACAATATTCTAAACACGAATATGCATGAATCCAAATGCTATTTTTAGAAGCACGCAAATTAAAATCTTAATTATTATGCTTAACATGCCCATTAGTAGAATTGTAAAATAAGAACTGGTTAGTTTTTATTTAGCGAATTTTTTAAAGAAATTTTTCAATGAGATTTTTCTGCAGAGATATTTGTGTACACTTTTAATTCTACTACGGTTATGAAATGAAGAAAAGTTTTCTGTGTAGCTAACTGTACATTTTCTGTAAGGAACATGTTAATTATATCGTCAGAGAGAAATCTAAATTTTATGAATTTACAATATAACGTAGAATATATACAGAAGTTTGATAGTAACTCTTATTTACAAATTTTACAAATTTATTTAAAAATTTTAAATAAATATGTATTTTAAATTGTAATAATCAGAGAGGGAGAGAGAGAGAAAGAGAGAGAGAGAGAGAGAGAGAGAGAGAGAGAGAGAGAGAGAAGTGTATGCCATTTAATGGATAATACATTATTGATATGATATATAATATGAAAATATAAATTAAATTAATCTACGTGTCAAATTTTTCATCGTATATATTGTATTAAATTTTTGTAATATATATTTTTCCGTTTTTTAAATATTTTATTTTGATAATATATGTATATGTGTGTGTGTGCACTTTTTATTTTATTCTTCAATTTTTTTCTTAATCTCAATTATTTTACATAAATTATACACCATTCGAACTTTTTAACTTGAAATGATTTTACTAACTTTTACGTAATATCTTGAACATTTAAAGATGTATGAATTCGGAATTATACCGTGCATTATAAATAATATACAAAATGATAATGTCACATGTCAGCCAGCTAGATATAATTTTGGAATAATGTTGGAAAATACTCGATCAAATGTTAAGCGCTTTCGGTGAGGGATTTGTCAGCGTTTGTTATAAATAATGCTTCGATAGTCCGTTCTACGTCGAGTTAACGTATAGCTTTATTAACGGATTATATCGTACCATAATTAGCTACTGCAAATTTGATTCGATAACGTGGTCTCCCGCTCTCTTCCTCTCTCTCCCACTCATTCACTCTCTCTCTCTCTCTCTCTCTCTCTCTCTCTCTCTCTCTCTCTCTCTCTTTCTTTCTCCCTCGATGGATGGAACTTTATCACTACTACAATGTCACAAAAACAAATCACGTCAAAAAGTAAATTGTGGCCAGTCTGCTTGTTATGTGATTATATTATCCATACGTTCGAGCAGACAATCTGCTATCAGTTATCAGCATGAAAAAAGTCATAGCATAAATTCATTTATGTTCTTAAAATATTTCTCCTATTTTTTCATTGGTCACGCTATTCAATCGTCTTCAACTGTACATTTCTATTATCAATAAAGATGTCCGATGATTGAATTAAATCGCTTGCACAAATCTTTTGCAGCAAAATTCCAATAAAAGTTTTTAGATATATTTTTGTATTCGTTTTGTACTCGATATTACGCCCTATTCTCTTAGTTTATATAAAATAAACAATAAATTCTCTGGCTTAATTATGATTTTTAAATAATTAAATTCTTTTTTAAAACGTCTCTCTCTATATTTTATTATTATTAAATACATCTTGTGAGATAATAGAAATCCGCGCATTAAGAAATAAATGGTTAAAAGCGCGTATACAAAGGTTTTGATATGCATCGAGATAACACAAAAGAGCTGCAATAAAAGTCGCTTTAACTAAACGAGCAGATATATTTCTCGTCCGTTGAGCACTTTGCCTAATTTTTTGCACGAAGCAAACACAAATACTAGTTTGTTCCGCGAGATGTTTAGCGTACTAGTCTTCTTTTTTTTGCACTGTTGACCAACTTCTATTTTTATGCATCCTGCACTCTTCGCCTTTGTATCTTTATAATTACACAGCTTGCATTATAGTGTACTTGCAACTACCGAGATATTATGTAATATAAAATGCATTCGTGTATGTTTGGGACAAACATGTGATAAAACAATTTATAAGTGTAATATGTAACTGACATATAAGAGATAAAAGTGAACTGTACGAAAATGAAATATGCATATGTCGGTTATTGTAATAGAAATATATGTCATATGTCTTTCGAATTGAGACAATTACAGAATTACTTTTGTATATTCTCTTGTATATTCAAAAAATATTTTTTTTAAATTCGCGATTTTTAAAAAATATAATAATTATATGGTCTAATAAAGGTTATCAATATTATAATGCATACAATTGTCAATTTGAAAAACCAAAAATTATGAGCTCGTTTATGTGATTCATAGTTT